TGTTAAAAAAGTACACATCACAAATGTTTAGAGAACTGACGTGAGTCACTTTAAAAATGTCTGTTATGTAAAGTTTGTATCAAACTTCCTATATGGGAATATTTTTAGAGCTTGACTTTCGGAGATAGTATTGGGTATGAAAAGCCCTTTGATCTTCGAAAGCAGCAGAGTAGGATCTTCTCAGTCTTCTGGAGACTAAATCAGTTAAAGTAGCTTTAAATTATTCTTTCCCGGAACAAGATAAGTGAAACAAACAATATTGGGAAACCCTATTAATTGTTAGTTATCTTAGGTAAGTATTTGACATTATAATTATAGATTTTTCTGTGTAATCAGCTGTATTCCATCACTACGAAGAAAACACCACTTAATCTGTTGTAAATATTTACTATACAGTAAGTTAGTTTGTTTGGAGAGAAACTATTGAACTTGACTGTTCAACAACAAAACTTTTGTAAATAGGGAAAGTCATTCTAGAACAAATCTGACAAATATTTAACCTTGTACACATATTTTTGCCACACAACACAGTAAGCAGCTGCTTTAATTTTTATTTTTATTTTTATGTGATCATTACGAATTAATTTATAACTGAATGCATTAGGATACTGAATTTGTGAAATTTCACATGTAATAATTGTTGAGTTGAGAGAAATCAGCTCAAACCTGCTGCTTGATGAATCCAAAAAGAGGTATGAGTTTGAGTATTTTATGTTTTCAGATTGGCGAAATGATAGAAAAATCAGTAACAGTGTATTGTGTATGTATGTGTTGTGTTTTACTTACACTTATATTTGTTGCTGGTAGTGTGGCAAAAAGTACCGTATGCAACTCATCCGGGAAGGTGTATACGGTATTCTCAGAAACCCCATGAGAAGATTGCCAAGCTATCATGATCCTACCGTAAACACACTTCCCAGCCTTGTAGCACATTATACAAATAAGTGTAACCAATCAGAAAATAAGTAAATTTAGCACTCTCCTCACTCGAAGTAGTTTATGTGCAGAACATTCTAAGAGTTTCACGAATGACATTATCTAAAAATTGCATTGCCTTTACAGTAGAGTGCCAGAAAGTGGGTTTGGTTAAATTTGCACATCATTTAGTTGCCTTTACCAATAATTACTGTAAATATATAGCTTTTTCCACTAGGGGATTTGCTAAAACGTGCAAAATTGGTAAAATTAGCTTTTATAATACTTACTTATACACATGACAGAAAAAAACTGTATAAATAGTATTTATAGGATTCCTCTATGAGACTTTATGATGAGACATGATACCCACTTGGAATAAGATTTATTGTCCATTTTATTTATTTGCTATGTTAAAAACAACAATATTTATTATTTAGTTTTATTTGTTCTTTTAGTTATACTACTTTCATTTAATAATGAAGCAGTTTAATGCCATCAACTATTTTGGTGCCCCAAAACCTTTCCCATTTTCTTCCCAACTTTGTCCTTTGATCATTTCATATAAAAATATCTAAATCGCCTAATAATATAGAAGTAAGTAAACATGAGACAAAATAGTTTTCAATATTTTTCAGAGATTCAGGAAATCACAATAACACAAAGGGACAGCTGGATATTTTACATTTCTCTTTTGGCTAATTGGATTGAATTTTCTAATTGGATGTTGGTTAGCATTATAATTGGATCTATTCTGGGGTAGGGCTTTAAATGTTTGTTTGAGAGAATCTTCTTTTGAGGATTCTTGGTCCCTGGTGGAATTAAATCTTTTCTTACATCTAAAAAATATAATTAAACACTGAAAAAGTATTTAAAACCAAAACTTGCAAGGTTAGTTTTGCAAACTTATCTGTTGAATGTGATAAATTTAGTTATTGTAAAATACTGTAAAACACATTTTATGTTTTGACTTTAAGGTTTGCTGCAGAATAACATGCAATTAAGTAGGCCAATTACTGATGCATATTGTTTTTGAAACGTTAAAATATTATTCCGAACCGTTATTAAAATCATATAAATACCCCGTAGGGCCATTATGGTATTTATATGGTTATATTTATAGGCCATATATGGTAGAGGAACTTTACCATTCATCACTTGATTATAGTCAAGTGCATGGATTCAAAATAAAAATGACTTTATTCTTTAAACAAGAGTTCTTATGAAATTCATTGTATTTTACTGTAAACAAACTGTTACTGTTATTATTGCGACAATCCGACAAATTATGCAGCATGAAAGTAAAATATTGTACTTGAATAAGCTGTCAAAAGTCTTCCTTCTCCTTGTTGATGTCGACTGCCATTCTGCCAATAGCAGAGTACAAATACTACCTGATATGTTTTAGCTGTAAATGTCCTCAACTCGGTCCTGATAAATAAAAATGTGTACAGTAAAGTACACTACTACAAAATAATAAAAAAAGAAAACAAAAATTCTAAAACGAACTACTGTGAAATTTCCTTGCATACATCAAATTTAGTTCTGCTATGAGTACTGGAAGCAGCTCAACCCAATTCACCAACAAAAAGGGAGGGCGGAGACCACTCCGGCCCATAAAAAAGTTTTGGAGGGTTCATGCAAACTCTAAATTTCATATTTAAAGAAATATTCATTAAAAATCTCATAAACAATCATATAAACAAAACACATTACACTTGGAGATCCAGTCTGTTTTGTGTTTTACATCTGCTATAACCCAGATAAAATCCCCGTTTCGTTGTATATTACTATAACCCAAATATTATATATTAACACACTACCAACCCTACAACCCTAGAGTAGACTTCACTAAATATTCCACTTGTATTTGTATTTTAGTAAAAAATATGTATTTTTCTTGGTTGGCAACCGTAGAAGTCACAGTACTTCACTCACCTCTTTCTAAGAACAAGCTTGACCTCATTTCACTCTTGAAAATTGTCCCCCATAACCACTTACAGTGGCGGTTAATAAATTTAAACAGAAATTTCGTCCTAAAAACGTTAGGGAGATTTTTGGATGGTTAAAAATGGCTTTAGAAAGTCATCAAGCAGCTTTAAAAATACCAAACTTTCCCCCAGACACCCCTGCTTTCTTGGGGAGGGGAGGGGGTGTAGACCACCCTTGACAAAGTTCTAGAATCGCTACTACTTACATCCAGTTGAAATGTAAATGGTTGTGTATCACGGACGCTGCCACTGTTTCATTTCTCGTGTCTGGCGTACCCGGAGTTTAGTTCCGTGTGTTACCTCTTTTGTTATTTTCTGCAGTTACCTGTTTATGTAGTTTTATATCTATTAAATATTTGGTTTGTATTTATCTTTTTGATCATATGTATGTATTTACACTATTTGTTTATGATGTCATCACCTAAGAAAAGCGTGATCATGGACAAAAAGATTTAAATATAGACATTTAGCTTTGCTGCGGTTACTGTAGAATAAAAAAGGTTCTGGCGCACACCGCTGGGAGCGCCATGTAGTTACGGCATACACGCTACGAAACTACACGGCGCTCCCAGTGGTGTACGCCAGAACCTATGGTAACCATGGTAACCACAGCACGGCTGACAGTCTATATTTAATTCTTTTAGTCTATGGCGTGAGTCATCTCACATGTTTTTAAAATCAAAGTCAACCGTGCTGAATAGGTATCTGCCTATCAAATGTAGACTCAGCACAAGAATGTCCTTTGATCATGTATAAACTTGTTCTAGGGCTGAACACAATGCCGGAGAAGCTGTTCAAAGTTATTGTGATTGGTGATCCAACAGTAGGCAAGACCTCATTTGTGCAACGCTACGTCCAGAACACTTACCGCAAAGACTACAAGGGTACTGTCGGTGTGGACTTTGCCCTAAAGATACTCAAGTTAGGAGATAGCCAAACAGTAAAGCTACAGCTTTGGGATATCGCAGGTATGTAATTTGTGATAAGAAATTATTGACCTTTTTATACTACCCCTCTTATCCGGACTCCTCGGGATCAAGGCCAGTCCTGATAACGTTTTTTCTGGTTAAACCGACATCCCCAAAAACTAGTTAAAACGGACCGTTTAAATGCATACTGTATACAGTATCTGACTTAAATTTAGGAGAGCATTGTATTTAGACTTGTGATCACTGGTCTCAAATCTTTCCCATGAGAACAGTTATTTCAGTACTGCCCACTTCCTGCCAATCTAGTCCGGTTAAACCGCTGTGCTAATAAAAATTTACCAGTTAAAGAGAAAGTCATTTCCGCCGAGTGTAGACCGGTTTAACCGATGTCCGGTTAAAAGGTGTCCGGATAAGAGGGAGTCTACTGTACTTGAGTTTAGGCAAGGCCGTATTTCCCTAACGGCAGACATGGTAGTTGCCGGGGGCCTCACTTGGGGTCTCAAAATTTTTTCTTGATAAATTTATTTCACCGATAATCTGTTTGACCGTGATCGCCGGAGACAATGATGAAATCTGCTGCAGAAGATCATCACTATTATTTTGCTGTTAATAGGTTAACAGCAAAATAATAGTGATGATCTTCTGCAGCAGATTTCATCATAGTTAGTCATAGTGACAAACTCCTAGGGGAGTTTGTCACTATTCATCCACGATCGGGGAAGATCTCCAGGATTTCATCGCGACCGCGGGGGTCGAAGACCATGTCCCCGCAAACTCGGAAGATTTCGTCATGATATTTAAAGGAGACAAAGATTATGTCTCCACCCTCACGCAAGATGTTAATTATTTTTCTGAGCCTATAAAAGACATTCATGACTATGCCGCGATTGCAATGGACGAAGATGATGTCTCCACAATCGCAAAAGATGTTCACTATTCCTCCGCGGGCACATGAGACGTTCATAATTTCCCGCGATCGGAGGAGGCAAAAGATTACGTCTCCGTGCTCGCACAACATGTTAACTATTTCTCCGCGGCCATATGAGACATTCATTATGATGCCGCGATCGCAGAAGACAAAGATAATGTCTCCGCAGAAGGCGAAGATGATGTCTCCACAATTGCACATGATGTTAACTATTTCCCCCTCCCCCATAGGAGACATTCATGATTTCCTGATCGGCAAGACGAAGATGATGTCTCTGCTATTGCGCATGATGCTTACTATTTCGCCGTGAACTTAGAAGATTTTCACGATCCCTCCCTGACCGCGGCAGATGTCCTCGATTTTACTGTGACCACAGAAAGACGCTTACAATTTGGCTGGGATTCCAGATTTTGTATAAACCAATTATATCAGTACCAGTATGTCAATTAATTAATATATTTTAAATTATTTAATTCCAAAACCACTTGATTTGGATCCGATGCCCAAAGGTTAACATTTCATAATCAACCTGAAAGAAATTAAAAATGTCTGGCCCAAACCTAAGACCCCCTAATATTATTATTATAAAATTTAATAGACTTAGTATTTATTAGTTTAGTCTCCTAGGTATTTTTGCCAATCGGATTGTTGGAAACAAAAGGCCAATTCATCGAGTTGAAGCAATTTAAGTTCCAAAACTTAGAAGAATCAGAATATAGAGGGGCCTCTCTGGCAGAGCATATTTTAAGGGACTTGCACTGGGCGACAGTGGCGCCAGACTAGCACCTAAATATTTGTTATTCTAGTAAATAGTCATTAAATCGGAAAAAGGGTGTAAGATGAGCAGAAGGCATATAACAGTAGTCTCCAACACCACAATATGCCCAACACCGCACAGCTATTCCCAGTCAAATTTGTTAATTTTTGCCGAAGTGAGTTTGGTCAAATTAACAAGCGTAACTTTTTTCTGACTACTAAATAGCTATACTAATGGGATTTTTGGTTATAAGACTGTAGTGACTAATATTGCGAGGCAGTGTAAGATATTGTGTGTCCTGAGCATTTAAGCCATATTACCCCACAGAATTGTCCTGGGTAGAAAATGGACGAGTGATTACTCAAATAACAAGTATGTAATTTGTTTCATGACAGCTTCATGCTTGAGATTAAAATCCAAATACAGAATATCTTGTATATCGTTTGATCCTTTTCCTTGTCTTCAGGTCAGGAGAGATTTACATGGATGACCAGAGTGTACTACAAGGATGCTCATGGATGTGTCATCATGTTTGATCTTACCAACAAAAACTCCTTTGTAAATACTTTGAAGTGGAAGAAAGACGTTGACTCAAAATGTACATTACCGGATGGAAGCCCAATACCATGTATGCTCCTTGCAAACAAGGTTAGTTGTGATACTAACAGCATGTTATGCTAAAAATGAGTGTGTAAATTTTACAATATTATTAAATGATTATTACAAGGACGGTCCATAAATTAAGGTCTCCATCGAGCTCTTGTGTTGACCAAACAAGCTAGCTCAAATCTTAAACCAGTGCTACGTTCTTTATTTCATTTACTAATATTCAAGCCATGAGACAATTAGTCTCCTCACAGTAGCCGAAAACTATCTGAAGCAAAATTGCTGCTCCTGCAAAGTATAAGTTAGATTCTGCTATTAGAGTTCTGTGGTCTAAGGTTCAGGTGGCTATTGAAGTTCATTGGCAGTGAAGGCCTAAAAAAGGTAAAGTAATTGGACGTAGAATGTGTTGAATGAGGTAGTAAACATTTCCATAATGGTTTGTACAGTGTAAGTCAGTTACAGTGTTACAGTCGTTCAGTCGCATTTGAGGCAGTGACTAAATTTAAGGAAATTGTGCCTGTGGATCGTGGTGTAGTATAAAAAGGTATTGACAAATAGATAGGGTACTTCTCTCAGACTATTAAGGACATAGATAAACCTCAGGCATTGTTAAACTTAGCAAGTTTAAAAGTTTTTTTTGTTAAACTTAGCAAAGTTTCCTCAATTTGAATCACTGCCTTGGTAGGTAGCCTAATGATTAAAACTTAAAACCCACTGAGGGATCGTTGATCAAATATGCGAATTACCTTAGCAGCTTTGCACAAAACACTTTTCTGCATACTCATCCTTCAACTGGCAACAGATTTCAATAGGTAATCATCTCCCACAGAAACCGAATCACAAAACAGGCTTCATGCTTGATCGGAGCGTCAAATTTCCTTCTTATTGTTTCGGCTGCTATGAGGGGAGTAATAATCTGGTAGGGGTGGAATACTTGTATACTAGTAGCTATAGTAGTAGAATGAAGTGAAGAACACAACCCTGGTGTCACATTTGAGCTAGTTAGCTTGATCAAGACAGGGGCTTGATAGAGACCTTAATTTACAGACATTCCTTGTAAAATGATCGATTTCTAAACTATTGCTTGTTCTTAGCTGACTTTCAGATTTTGCAATGAATGGGATGGGGATGTACCCTCAAAACCCCCCTCGCAGACAGCGAGGAATTATTTTACAGTCAAAAATGTAAAGTTCAGAACTAACTAGTCTACACTCTTTAGTTTTTTTTGTGACTGTATAATCTGCAGCCATACAGTATATAAATTATGTGTTCTAAAAGACATTTAGATTTTTTTTCGGCTGTAGTGTGATATATGTAAAATGTCAGAGTAATGTTTGATAATTTCTTGTTACAGTGTGATCTACAAAGTCAAAGACAAGTGGATCAGATGGAGATTGAGACATTTTACAAGCAGCACAACTTTATCGGCTGGACCGAAACTTCGCCAAAGGAAGGACTTATGGTTAACGACTCAATGAGGTTAGTTTCATATATGATTATGAAAACTTGAAAACAAATAATCACATCACCACACTACAAAGCGCACACATTACACAGTTCAAGTCAATTTTACAAGTGGCTTTATTGCTTTTGCATACAGTAAGTAATTTAATTGTCTAGATAGCGTAGTTGGAATAACGCTCGCCTTCTAATCTGAAGGTTGCTGTCTCAATCCCAAGTGGGTTCTGGACCCAGATACATTTTTTTATTGTGCTGTCAATTAGCTTTCCAAAGAGAAGTAAGGTACAGAGGAAACACTTTGATGTTTTTAGTGTTTCTTTCTAGCACTAGGGGTCTAGAACAAAGTCAAACACCGCCCCCCTCACCCTCATGTACTACATTGCTTACGGTGGAGGAAGACCCTGTGTGCTGTACAATAGGAATTTCCACACAGTGCTCGCTGCTCTGCCTCTTCCTTGCTCGTCACAAGTATATATTTCCTGCACAAAATACTAGAGCTGAAAGCGCATGCTGTCCCATAAGCAAGTTTTCTCTGTACCTCTGTGTGCTATATAGAAAAATTTCAACTTAAACAGTAACAGGATTAGGGTATAGACCGGTCCCTTCAAAAAAAGAAAAAAAAAACAATGTTTCAAAACAAATCAGATAAAATATAAAATCAACTTTATTTATAATTTTTATTATTTTAAATCTACTTGAATGGTAATAATATTTGATTTGCGTTGTGGTTGTTTTGTCACTTGCTGATTTCTATTAATTATTAGCAATTTGTAACAGAATTACAATTTGTTTTATCAGCCTATGAGTAGCCATTATCTTGTGACATGTTAAGTAAATAAAAAAATGGTCACCTATTTTATTTAAGCCCTAAATATTATTTTCTAACTGTGGTAGGTTGGTGTATTATTTAAAGTTAAAATAGGTAGATAAATCAGTTTTGATGGTTTTATGGTTATGGAACCAAATCCCCAACCATGAAATTATACATATAAGATGATTGCTGACTTGGTTCTAAAGGATTGTCTGGTCTTTTTCTAACACCAATGATGCTGTCCTTCAATAGCTTAGCCCTTTGAAATGAGTTATATTTTTTCCTTTATTATATTCCATTTTATTTAACTTATATTTTTTGATTAATTGATACAGGTATTCTTGGTAACCTGTCTAAATTGATGCTGCAGTAGATTGGAAAAGGCATTTGATATCTACATTGTAACTTTGAATAACAAAACTAAATAATGACTCAAATCAATTGATGTTTGTAACATCATTCACGTATATTTTCTTATATTCTTGAGTGTGGCAGATTGCGTGAAAATATAATAATATATTTGGTTCTTACCGTCTACGCAATCAGGGGCGAAAACTTCACTACGCCGTTTCGGAGATAACTCCATCGTCAGGTTCGTAGTGGTACACTGAACTATGGTCTTAATACGAAAAGTCTTAATTTGCATTGTGTCAGGGGTTGAATCATATATATATTAATTACGTAAGCCGATTCTTTGTGTAAAAATTGTGGGTGACTGGGAAGTCGTAGAACGATGGGAGAGGGCTCAAATTAAAGGTCTCGATTCCGTGACGGCGGGAAAAAAGTGAAATTTCCTAAATTTTAACACAAAATTAGATATAACGTCAAATGTTCTCCATAAGAGTAGCATTAGAAGCCATTTACTGCTGATTTTTGTTTACTTCAATACAGCTGATCGTGATTTATCATCAAGCCAGTAAGCAATATTACATTTGGAATATTTGGATTACTTATTTTTCAGTCAATTATGCAATGTACTGTATACTATATAAACCAGGAACGACATTACCTATAATAATTAAGACTTTTTAGTCAAGTCTTAGAAAGTTGAAATCAATTGTTTTACTGTGCAATTTAGAATTGAACTTAAAATTTCAAAAAAAACAATGATTTTTTTCTTCTAATTTGAAGGTTATTGTTGTGTTGAAGGGATGTTTAACATGAAATAACCACATTGCCTAAACAATTCAAGATTAAATGGAAAACTTCTGCTTTGTTTTGATTTCAAGACATATGTTAAAGATTAATTCTACGCTTTTTTTTGTAAATCTACTAACATTTATATTTGAGATTAATTATTATAGTGTTTATCAATGTTTTGGGAATACCCTCTTAGAAAACGACCTGAAAATAAAAATGAAATAGGTTCATACAGGTATATTAAGGTTCATTAAGTAAGTACTATGCCAAGTTCCAACGGGCGGAAAAACAATATTGTTTGGAGGAGATTTTAACCAGGTACTGCCTGTGCTCCAAGCAAAAAAGGTTCAAAATAATATAGCCTAGCATGCACGGTAGTAAAGGAAGCATCCATATATAACAGTAAAACCTAGAGGTAGTTTCCGTTTCTTAAAACTAACAAAAAATATGCATGTCAAAGATGCTGATGAAAGGTAACTTTTTGATTGGTTTCGATAACTGGGTAATGGAACCCTAACCATTCGCAAAATATTACACAGGTGTTTAGTCAATAATATGTTAAGTCAACCGCACCTTAAGGAGGAATACCACCACATAAACCTACACTAGGCTAATGTAGTATTTTTAATGTTGATCAGAAATAAATCTAGGGTTAAGTTTAGTCAATGGGATGCCTTTACTTTACACTAATGTTGTTAAATCTTTACAAAAGGAGTATAAACTTAGAAATAATAACTGGGTCGGAGTGCTAATTTAGCGGGTTTGACCAAGGAACTAAGCTTATCTCAACACACCTTTATTTGCCTTCTTAGTAAAACAACATTTATTGACTAACATGTTTGCTCCCTTCAGCAGAGTTAAACCTCTGGATTAATTTAAATTATTTATTGAAAATAACATCAACAAAAGCAAACAAAAGACGAACAATAAACAGTTTTTCACACAAAATAAATGGTGTACAAGGATACCTATCCTGACACTTAGATAATTTGATTCTGAGTTTGTTTGAATATTAAAAAAAGTTGTTTTACATTTGAGATGTTTAGGGACTTATAAGCCACTAGTAAATATTAAACACATAAAACAGGACCGACACACGAAAACAGGAAAACATTTAGAGCATGTGCACGGCTTAAAAACTGATGACCGACTGTTCGATTCTGGTCACTGCAGGAGTTACATAGATTGGGAGTTGGAGAGGATAATATAGATTAATTAATTACCATTAGTAATGTTATTATAATTATTATATGATTAATTAATCCTTCCCCTTAAATTGTTTATCTATAAACATTTTCTAAAATAAGTTAAAGAATTTTAATTTAAAAAAATGTCATTATTATTATTACCTATTATATGTTAAGCAAGTGTTCCACCACTTTATTTAGTATCACAACATTATCTGACTACATTTATTATTATTATAGATACAATTTTCTCCAAAATCGTCTTATATTCTGCTACCATAGCATTTATTTTCTTAATAAAATAATTAATTATTGTTAAAATGTTTTTTAGAATGTTTTATACTTAAATAAAAAAAAATAAACAGAGTAAAATCAGCTGTTGTAAACATCGATTGTAAGCAATCAAACATGCATTGAAAAAAATCTATTTAGCTAGTAGATATCCCAATTAAATGCAATAGTAATGCAATAGTCCCAAACCGATCTATTGTAATACCTCAATGAGCATAAAATTGTTAAAACTGGTCAAAAGCTGTATTACAATTGTTTTATAACAATTTTAAAACAATTTGATTTAAACTTCATATTACAATTTTAATATAAGATTGGAACAATCTTTAAGAGGGCATCATACGCCCTATGATGGCAATGTAAAATTAGCAGCCTTAATGTCCCATGCTTATAAACCCCTAGAGCTATCAACCTGAATTTTTAAGGTTATAATTCATGCTTTTATATAAAACTGGTTCAAAAGTTATTTACTTCCAATACAATTTTAATGTCTAAATATATATTTTTAATATACCTTAAATTTCCCTTTTTTTGTGCGTAAAAATGGCAGTAAATTTTTTTTTTTTGAAAAGTAGCCTATATTTTTAAATTCGGTACCACTTCTGTGAAATAGCTTCAAATATATTCGGTCCCTATTAATAAGGTGTCATTGTGTTCAGTAAGTAACCAGCTTTTTTGAAAAAAAAAAAATTATAAAAAATGATTTGTTGCGTATGATTCACTTGAAAACATATAATATCAACAATCATATATATCTCAGAGGTAAGGTAAGAGGTTCAAAACTTGAAGGTTTCAGGTTCGAGACCCGTCTGAGAAAGATATTTCTTTTCTATTTTTTTTTTTTTAATTTGTTTTTGGCGAATTTCCCATATAGGGAATAAGCTATTACCGTAGTACTCATGGTAAGACCTGGACGCGGGACCGATTTTTGTTTTCGTTTTGAGGTACCTAGAGGCCAAAAACACCATCCGTTCAAATTCATATAAAATATATATATATATATATATGTGTGTCCGTTATGATAACTCGAGCAAAAATGATCCGATTTTGATGAAATTTGGTATAAACCTACATTTATTCAAACAAGTTCGCGAACCAGCATGATCGGACTATGGGAATGGGGGTTTACGAGGGGTTTTATGGGGTAAAAATAGGTTTTTCCCATTTTGACCCAAAAACATAAAATTTAGCAATTTCTTTCCAAACCATTTTGTAGAGCTTAAAAAAACAAATAATTTAGTTTATTGAAGTGTTATTATGCGCCTAATGATTACGGAGAAAATTCCAAAAAAATGTAAATTAAAAATTCCCATGTTATTCTTATGGAGAACAAGTAAACTGTTGTAGTTTGTTTGTTTATGCACATATTTTGATCAAATTTGGAAAATGTTTTTATTTCTTACTAACTATTAACATTTTACAAAAAAAACAAAAAAAAAACAGTTTTACCCTCCCTGATGCAGCAAACCTAAGTACTTGTTAAACTAATTCTTTTTAAATAGGAAATAATTGTTATATTTTTAAGTAGACATTTTAGTCTAAATCCAATCAGGCAAATGGAAATTCGCTTAGTCTGCAGGTTTGCTGCG